AACCCATGACTGGAAGACGGAAACGCTTAACCAACATCCACATGCATCTAGTTCTGATTACAGGCTATCTCTAATGTCTGTTTCTAGCCTAAAGTGTGCACCAGGAGTATCCTTCATGTTCATTGGGAAGTGATATAGACAGAGTGAACACAGGGTGAGTTCCACTGATGCGCGTACACTCTTCTTTGTAACACCACTGTTTGGTGCTTTCCCCATGTGTTTCAGGTGCCACTCTCCATTCTACAAATGTAGAAATCCCCTTCTAAAGGCTGGAGCACTGCCTGTAAGATCTGTGCTGAAAGATGCTGGTACTGTGTGTCATCCCCTTTTGTCGTTGGTTTCGCCAGCTCGGTATCTTCTCTGAAATTTAATTTGGCTCTTGGGCTGAAAAAGCCTCCCCAGCTAACCAAACTAGATAGAACGAGATGCACTACATTGTTCAAACTCTCCAAAAGCCATTCACACATGAAGTGGGAAGATGCCTAATTTTAAACATATAAGAGCAGCATACATAGATGAGGGCGATTCAGTGTTCCCTTTCACTTTCAACCTGTGGTTCAAGCATGGTGATTCCAGCTTTAAGCCCATGGATGTTGCTGGACCTCAAGACTCAGAAGTCCTAACCAACATGGCTAATGGTTAGGGGCTCTGGGAGCTGGGCTGTTTCTGGGGACTCAAGGACGGGAATCTCAAGTCCACCACTTCCCTATGACTTTAACCCACCCTACTTCACTTGTAGGATTAGAGCCAGGCTAAGCAAAAATTCTGGGGGCAACAGATTGCAGTAAGGTCAAGGGAGTATGAAGGACTTGCCTCTTCTCTGTTATTGAAGATGGTCTTTGTGGCCAGTAAGATGTGGGTTGGTGGAAGTTGGGTAGGGCTGTGGAATATGCTGGGGGAAAGAAGCCATCTAACTAAGGCCAAAGATGAAGCAAACTTTACCAACGAGATGTGGTCTGTCTGTAGCTCAACTTTGGACTGTACATTCCAAGGCATTATAGTAGGTTGTACGTAGGGCTGTGGAATATGCTGGGGGAAAGAAACCATCTAACTCAGGCCAAAGATGAAGCAAACTTTACCAACAAGATGTGATCTGTCTGTAGCTCAATTCTGGACTATACATTCCAAGTGCACACATGTTCATGTGATAACTAGCACAGAAAGAAAGCTAATGCCCACTCTCTGTGTTAAATGCCATAAAGTAAACTCAGACTTATGATGACCCTTTCCAGCTTTTCTGGATAGGAAGTACGGAGAAAGGATCTACCGTTCCCATCTTCTGGAGGCTGGGGGTGTCCCAGAACTCAGCCTCCCCATAGAGGTCTTGATGACATCAGTGACTCCATGTGCCATTTATCTGAACTACTCAGAAATAGCTTTACCTAGGGATGTTGGCAAGCCTTTCGGTCCGAGTCTGAGACCCTATTAAAATTAAGCTTCCCTCCTCCAAAGAAAGGGTAGCCACAAGTAGAGTCCAAGTCACTGGGGGGGGGGGGAAACGAGCCGAGTCACTGGTGCGACTTAAGTCCAACTTGACAGCGAGTCCTGTGACTCCAGTCTCCATACCTGGTTTTACTGGTCTCACTGGTGCGACTTAAATCCAACTTGACACCGAGTCCTGTGACTCCAGTCTCCATCCCTGATTTTACTGGTGCCTCTTTCCAGTGGTGCTATGGAACCAATGTGCAGCTTGCCTAAGGCCCCCCAAGTGGCCAGGCGCTCAGTCCTATCAACCACATACATGCCAGGTGATTTTAACTAACCCTTCTCCTAAGAGGCACGATGGCAATTCAGACTTCTGGTCCAGCAGTCAGGTGGTTTGAACCCACTGAGGTACTCTGAGCTCCAGTTGATGATTTGGACCTAGGTTATGTGAAGAACTTCTTCCATCTATTATATCAGCCTGCCAGAGTTTTACAAGTAGCCACCAGAAGAAAAATTAAGCTGATCGAAACCAGGAAGAGATCCCTCTGATTATGGATCTGTTTTTCCCAGGAATGTGAAACTTTTTGAAAATCCCACTGGGCCTTTTATCCTTTCTCTTCTATTAAAGCAGTGGTCCCCAACCTTGGGCCTCCAGATGTTCTTGGACTACAACTCCCAGAAGCCTTCACCACCACCTCTGCTGGCCAGGATTTCTGGGAGTTGAAGTCTAAAAACATCTGGAGGCCCAAGGTTGGGGACCACTGTATTAAAGGACAGAGCTGTATGTGCCAGTCTCTCTCTTGTTCCTTTAAGCCAGCTTGCATCCCAAGTACAGTACACCAGAGGATACTGTTTTACTGCCAATATTCGGTTGGCAGTCCACTTAACTCCTCAAGTTAGAATTGACAAGGGGACACTATCTTGTCCTTTGCATTGAGCAGCAAAACGTCTTGGGTGGTCCCTAAGAAACACAGTGCTGTTTTAATTGAATTATGAAGCTGAGCATGTTTCATGAAATCAGGGACATGAAGCAGCAGATTACATCCTTAAAAGGCAATATATAAACCAGTCAATCAAAGAAAAAATGAATAACTATTTGGTTGCTGCAGTTGCCTCTCCAGCTGTTCAGGTCATAAGATTTGTACGTATCAGTGACACTTTGACACATCAAGGAAATGGGAGCAGTGTTATTGACTACAGGACTGAAAGATCCAGCAGCATGATTTTATTGTCTTTTCCCTCCTGTGTTCACAATGGATTTGAATGTTAGCATTCACTTTTTTTTCTTACCAACTGTCAGAGCTTTTAAAATCAATGCCAGCACAAAAGCTTTTGCCTTAATTACTACTTCTGGATTCAGCTCTTTGCCTTAACGTATAATCAGATGTGTTTAAGGTAATTTATTTCGCTAATATTAAAACAATTTTAAAATGGCACTTTTGTGCATACTGATGCACAATTTCCATTCGAATTCTACCCAGCCAGAAACTATGGTTTTGAAAGTTTTAATTATGTTAGTAGGGTTTTTTTTTTAAAGCATTTTCAAATCAGAGAAAGGAAAGAGAATGAAAAGGCATGTCGACATATGATGGATGCTAAAGCTAGATTGATTTAAGTGCATGGTGACATTAATATGGTGTTCTTATGGAGAACGTGAAAGGAGCAACAAAATATTATAGGATATGATGGCTGCATTAAGTTTCCTTGTAGCCAAATTGGCTGGTTTTAAAGGCTGTAGCATTCCCACAAAATGCAACTTTAAAATGTCCTTTGGTTCCCATTCAGATGAATTTCAAGGAGTTTTTACACTGCCATCAGGGCTATTGGCAATACATCAGAAAGTTGTTAATTCATTGGCCTCCACGCCTATGGGATACATGTGGAAGAAGGGGAAACAGTGGAGGCTAGTGATCCTGCTGTTGCTGTGGCCATGAATTCAACTCTGGTTTTTAATCTGAACTTGAGATGTGCTTTTTTCTTCTTCTTCTTTAAGTCCCAGAATTTCCCAGGCATATGTGAGGAATTTTGCATCCCCTATGTCAGTGGAGGCAAACCTTTTTCAGCTGGAGTGCCCAAAATGAGGGGGCGGGGAAGAAACCAGTAGCTGCTGTGCCGCCTGGAAGACCAGAACCAGAACAGGAAGTGGCAGTTTCAGGGGGAATCATGGGGATGGACAGGAAGTTAAAGGGGGAATCATGGGGACGGACAGGAAGTTAAAGGGGGAATCATGGGGATGGACAGGAAGTTAAAGGACCCAGAACAGGAACAGAAAGAGGGAATCCCAGCTGCAGCCACTTCAAAAGGTTTGTTTCCACCAGGGTGGGTGGGTGGACCACTCACTCATGTGCCAGAAGAAAGGGGTTCACGTGCCAGATGTGACAAGCGTGCCATAGGTTCTCCATCACTGCCCTATGTGATCATCTGGAGAGTTCTGGGAGCTATATTCTGAATATTCTCAACACACAACGCTGCATACAGAACTAGTCTGAACTGTAAAATGCTCAACTCTGTCCCTAAAATACATTCTGCAGCTTGGATACCTCCTTTAAAATTTAGGCTAAAACCTGAAGTAGATTCACACACACATCCTCTTAACAACACTAGCCTCCATTGGAGGGGAGTAACAGCGGGCTGAATAGGATCAAGTGCAGCAGGAATGTTGTTCTTTGAAAAAGGAAACTACATCTGTACAAAGTGTATGTGCTGAAGTGGGGAAATGACTTTTTGATGCATGGGCCTCATTCCAATTTGGAAAAGCTCTCTGGAGGATCTTTGGAGGGCCCAGAAGGAATGGCGTGGGTGGAGCCAGAAATAATCCTGACCCATTTGGATATTTTTGTACCAGGTAAGGAAAGCACAGTTCAACTCTATGCATGTCTAGTCAAGGCCTATCCAGGGTTTTGAGTGTAACCGCAGATTTGCCCTTTGGTTTTCTGTGTTGTAGCGTAGCTAGGCTGGAATCGCTGATTGCATAGGGAGGCTACCAATAGGAGCCAAACATAACGACATTTCCTCTTCCTTTTCTATGTCCTAATGCAATCTGTAGGATTGAGCGAGCATGCTTTCATAGGGCTGTGTGCCTGCGAGGTCTGCTAAGCAACATGAGCTGGTGAGCAGAGAAGTGTTTTGGAAGGATGCCCTGCAGCTATGGATTTTCTTCCCTTGGCCCGGTGCCAAAGCTGTATCTATTGGCCAATGCCAGGCAAGGCCCTTTTTGTGCAAGCTTTGGCTTTTAGGAACAAAGGTTACTTTTACAGGGAACAGTTTGTTTCTTTCTTTCTTCTATCCATTCACTCTTTCTTTCCTTCTTCCTTCTTCATTTCCTTCCTTTCTTCCTTGCTTTCNNNTCCTTCCTTTCCTTCTTTCTTTCTTTCTTCTATCCATTCCTTCTTTCCTTCCTTCCTTCCTTCCTTCCTTCCTTCCTTCCTTCCTTCCTTCCTTCAAGCTGTCCAATTGCCTGGGTAAATTAAATATCCAGTGCCTGAACTGTTATGCCTCCATGAGCTCATAATTCAGTGCTGCTTCCTGCATCCTGTAGCCCTGTTGAGAGAGGGACGGAGCCAGCTTTGCTGTTAGACAGAGTGAAGCAGATGCCCCGGGAAGCAGATTTCGCTTTTCATGAAAGGAAAACAAAGGGTTAGTTATTCACTTCATTATTGCTGTGTTTTAAATGTAATGAAAGAGGGAGGTCCTTGAGTACTTTTCTCTCTCATGTGCCAAAATAATTGGACTGGCTTTGGATACAGTACACTAGCAATGAGAAGAATACTTGCTAAATCCGTCATTTTTATCAGTGAAGGCTGTCTTAATAGAGCAAGGCACCTCACTCAAGGAAGTTCAAACCTTCATGAGAGTCCTTGCTTCCAGGTGAGATTAAGAAAAAAACGCTGTTCCTCACCCCCTCCCAGGTCCTTGTAATTTGTGCCCCAAAAATAATAATAAATAATATCATTTTCCATTAAGAAGCGAAGTACAGAAACAAAGCAAGCACAGAAGGACATCAAGTGCTTCAAATTCTTAAGCCAAGCGGCAATCATCCTATAGTTAAGCATTGGACGGTTTTGTCCAAAACAGTCTTGTGTTAAACATAATTCTCGCCAATACAAAATCTCTGTCTACCTCACCAGGAAATTCCTCACTATTCTTACTGGTGAGGACCAGGAGGCTGCTGTTCCTTGTCTGCACATGCCAGAAGGAGAGAAGCTATGGTATTTATCACTACTCTGCACCTTCCATGCACGCAAGCAAAAAATCTTGGGGTGGCCATCAAGAGAGGGCAAGTGAAATAACTAGGCATTGCTGACCAGGGTAGGGGTTTTAAAAGATAAGGATAATATTGGATTCTTTGGCACACAAGAAGCTGCTAGATACTGTGACCAAATATCACCACATTCAGATCATAGAATGTTTGACATTGCATGGGCCTATAAGGTCATCCAGTCCAACTCCCTGCTCAAGACAGGAATCCATATCAAAGCAAATCTGCCAGATAGTTATCCAGTTTTCTCTTGAATGCCTCCAGCGTTGGAGTACTCGCCAACTCCTGAGGTAACTGGTTCCATTGTTGTACTGCTCTAACAGTTAAGACGTTTTTCCTGATATTCAACCTAAATCTGGTTTCCTGTACCTTGAGACCATTATTACATCTCCTGCCCCTTCTCAAGTTTTTGAAAAGTGCTATCCTATCTCCCCTCAGTCATCAGATGTTTTAATCCAGTTACATCACTAGAATTGTGTGAGGCACAGCAGAAGTAAACATGATCATGCTGGCCCCTATTGCCCTCCAAGAATTTGGGGTTGGGTGCCTGTAGCTAGTAATGTGTTCTAATCATATTGGCTCCTGTGCTATTTAGAACTCTGAAACATCCGGGTTCTCTTTAACACAGCCCAAGGTATTCGCCAAGAATGTTTGGGACAAGAGATCGGTAAATCTACCAAGGCTCGGAGTGCAGAATTTCAATCCTTCTCACTCATATGTCTGTTCTGTGTGCATTCTATATGGATTTTATGAAGGACATAAAATTTGTATATTCTTTGAATGAATGCCTGCTCCCTTAACTAAAGCATGTTTGTGCACATTGAAGAAATTTGTTGAGTGCCTTTTTTGTATGTGTTTTTCAAGCACAGCATGTTAATGAATGTCTTGGCTTGAGTTCAATTGCTAGGCTCCAAGCAGAGTGAACTCAGTGATTTAGTTGCAGAATTGTGAGTCCCTGTGCAGGTAAATCTATAGTTTCAATAGAAGTATCCATGGTCTTTTTCCTTTCATAGAGCTGCCTCTTGGAAATGTGAAATTTTGGACTAAGGCTCCTAGCATTCTTAGTCTGTGTTGCCATGTGAAATGGGAGAGTCTGGAAATTATAGTCCTAAAATGTCACTTTTTTCCCCCAAGAATGCCTGAAATGCATCCCCATACCAGAAATGTGTAGCTTTCTAACCACAGATTGTGTGTCTTTCCAATGTTCAATCCAGGAGTTGCGGGAAAGGGCAGAACCATGAAGAATAAAATCCTCAGCTGTGGGAGCCTCCCACAGTAATACAGTGGTGCTTCGCATTGCGATGTTAGTTCGTTCCAGCTAAATCGCTGTTGAACGAAAAAGTCGCAATGCGAAATTAAAAAGCCCATAGAAATGCATTAAAACACAATTAATGCGTTCCTAGGGGCTTCAAACTCACCGTTGAGCGAAGATCCTCCATAGCGCAGCCATTTTCGCTGCCTGTTAAGTGAGGGATCTGTCCCAGAAAACAGCGAGCGGCCATGTTTTTCCTCGGCAGCCATTTTGAAACCGCAGATCAGCTGTGCAAAAATGGTCGCTTCGCGATTATCAGTCATCGCAAAGTGAAAATACCCCACAGGGAACATCGTAAAGTGATCGCAAAAGTGGTCGCAAAAAGTTAGTCGCAGAGCGATTTCGTCACTAAACGGAGCACTTGCTAAGCGAGGCACCACTGTACACCCAAGTGACTTTGGTTGACTTGCATGAATAAGCCCAGTATTTTGAGAAGGACTCTCTGTTGTTTTCCTTGTGTTGAGCTCTACCCCAGCATCATCTGTTTCCTTGAATAATCTCATCCCAGTCTGGGACAGGAAAGGCACAAAAATCCATCACTGAAACAGCCTTCCGGGGACTTGTGCTATAGGGAGACAGACCCAATTTAACACTTCATTAAGGATTTGTCAGCCATTGATCTAGATTATCTGGGTTACTGCCAGCTAATTACATCTTCCTATACTTATTAATTATATTTGGAAAGCAAGAGAACAGTACTCACCGCCTGTCTGCTATATTTAGAAAAATTTCCAGCAGAGATCTAATTATAGAGCAGATCATTCACTGGCACTAGGTAAACCATTAACCCTTTCTTTAAAAAAAAACACCCAAAAAACCAAGGAGTAACTGTTTGGAAACCTCCCCTGCTGTTCCTGAATCCATCCTGAATCTATAGATTTCCATAGATATCTATGGACATTTCTATGGAAATCTATGGAAGTAACTAGACCCTTTGTAAACAAAAAGGAGAGATGGTCCACAGCCACCCATCCTAGACTGAAGTTGGACATATTTTAAGACTATAACTCCCAGAATCCTCAAGCCAGCATGGTTGGGGTTGAAGCACTCTAAAAAGCACAGTGCAGGGAGAGGGAGAAGGAGACAAATTTCCAAGTTCTGAACCGGGGAGCGGTGATTATTCCTGGTTGTAAAATCAGAATACCTTCAAAACATTGGCTTAAAGGTTGGTCCTAAGTACTGTATAAAAGAGCATGGACTAGCCAGTCCTGGGAAAGGGCAGTAGACCACACTGCTGAGGTGACAGGGATGAATCACAGTTTACACACACACACACACACACACACAGAGAGAGAGAGAGAGAGAGAGAGAGAGGCAGGACGGGAAAGGGCAGTAGACCACACTGCTGAGGTTACAGGGAAGAATCACAGTTTTGAACACACACACACACACACACACACACACACACACACAGAGAGAGAGAGAGAGAGAGAGAGAGAGGCAGGACGGACAGACAGACAATTGATCAGGAATGTATTTTTAACTTTTTCCTGGTTTAGGTTTTCTTCAAACTCCGTACATCCACCCAAAATATAGAGAGAGAGAGAGAGAGAGAGGCAGGATGGACGGACGGACGGACAATTGATCAGGAATATATTTTTAACTTTTTCCTGGTTTAGGTTCCCTTCAAACTCCGTACATCCACCCCAATCCCAAAATAGCAGGGGAGTGCCCATCTGGAAGAGTGGCATGCAGTAACTGTAATTTAAAATGCTGGAGTGTAGGGTAGATGGACTAAAAGATGTACAGTAATTGGAGTGGTTGAGAAAATCACAGCGTTAGAAGTGAGAAGAGGAGCAGATGGAACAGATGTCATTAACTTCTTCCCTTCCAGATGTGTTGTAGCACAGTGCACATCATCCCCAGACTAGAGTGGTAGCAGGGACTGATTATGGGAGGGGTGTGGAAGTGAAGAACCCATATCGAGAACCACTCATCCAGGCTGGGGTGGATGCAGGTTGTGCTACAACCAAGGTATGGAGAATACATGCTAAATTCCTTTCTTCTTGATCTAGGCTATCTCTACTGGGCAAAATACCTTAATAAGGAATATACAAGCCCCATGAGATTGCTTGTCTCCAAGTACTGTAAAAGTGAAAGGAATGCTATTTTCCCCCCATGAAGGTTAAGGTTTCTCTTAACATGTATTTTCCTCACCAAGGTCTCTGTCATTTGTGCCCACTGTGTGTGTAAAACTAGTGTCTGTTCTCTTTGAGAGTCAAAGCCAAACAATTGGCTGAGAGTTTTAAAAGATTTTTTTTTTAAATCTAATATTTCTCATTCTTAAAAGTCCATGCAACAAAGCAGCAGCCATTGTTACAGTGTGCAATTTGTATAACCTGTGTCCGAGCATTATTTGCACAAAAGCATTATTTCTGCCATTTTGCTAATGTGCATAACAACATATGCCACTATCCTCTTCTTAATGAGGGTGCGACAGAATACCTTCCTTGCTTGCCGGGTGCAGGAGAATAATTTTGGGTATAAAAAAGACTTTGCTGGAATTGCTTGCTGCAGAAATCTCTGGAGACTTACAGCTGTCCCTATTCTCCCTTTCCACCCCTTTGCCCAAAAAAAGTCTTTGCCGTTAGTTATTCAGGGAGACAAGACGGCAAGACAGACCAGGTAGGCCAAATCCAAGAATATGAACAAGAATCTGTTCCCAAAATCAAAACTCAAAGAACGAGGGCTTTCAACTATTTATTGTACAGAATAGAAGGTGATTTTGACAGTGGAGGCAGAGGGCTGGAGAACTGCTAGTCTACTCTGCCATGGCAGACTAGAGGATCCACTGTTTTGGTTCAGTATAAGACCGTTTCATGTATTCAGCAGCACAATCTTACCCAAGATGTTGGCAACTGCAGCTAATCTGGCAGCCGGTTCCCTTGTCTGCTGAATTTACTAGGGGATACACATCAGTGTGTGCTGCTGAAATACGACAGCGTTATGATAGTAGTTTAAAAGAAATACTTTCCTGTTTTGCTCTTAAACAAGCTTATAGGGAGCATGCAGCTGGTTTTAAACCAGAACCAGAGACATTATTTTATTCTAAAACAAGGCACACAT